TTCAGACACACACTGGAGGTTTCAGACACACACTGGAGGTTTCAGACACACACTGGAGGTTTCAGACACACACTGAAGGTTTCAGACACACACTGAAGGTTTCAGACACACACTGGAGGTTTCAGACACACACTGAAGGTTTCAGACACACACTGAAGGTTTCAGACACACACTGAAGGTTTCAGACACACACTGGAGGTTTCAGACACACACTGGAGGTTTTAGACACACACTGAAGGTTTCAGACACACACTGGAGGTTTTAGACACACACTGAAGGTTTCAGACACACACTGAAGGTTTCAGACACACACTGGAGGTTTTAGACACACACTGAAACAACAACACAAGTAAAAGAAGGAATGGAGTGATGAAACAGAGCTAGCCTGGTCTTACCCGGTCTTACCTGGTAAGACCAGGTAAGACCAGGTCTATGTTGGTCTGCGTTGGTCTGTGTTGGTCCGTGTTGGTTTGTGTCGGTCTGTGTGGGTCCGTGTTGGTCTGTGTGACCAATCCTGGGACTGAGACCCAGGATTCTGTAGACCCAGGACTGAGGCTATAGACCCAGGACTGAGGCTAGAGACCCAGGACTGAGACCCAGGACTCTGTAGACCCAGGACTGAGGCTGGAGACCCAGGACTGAGGCTGGAGACCCAGGACTGAGACCCAGGACTGATGGAATGTTTTATTGCACATATTTTTTAACAAACTGCAGATGCAGCCGAGCACTGACCTCTGGGACCCGGCCTCTGCGGCGGTCAGAGGGTCAGAGGTTGCGCGCCTGCCCTGCTCGCTGTTGCCACGGTGATGGACGGCGCCCGGCCCGCCAGAGAAAGACTGCATTTGTCCCCGTCCCTGCTCACACACTGGGACGGTCCCACGCCTCCATCACTCACTTGGAACTGCTGTAATGTGATTATCAGGACCACACGTAGAGAGAGGGTCTGCAGGATGTGGAGGAGACGGCCCCCTCAGGGTCCCAACGAGGAGTCCCAACCCAGGGTCCCCTCAGGGTCCCAACGAGGAGTCCCAACCCAGGGTCCCCTCAGGGTCCCACTGCGGGGCCCCATTTCATAATATGGTTTGCTTTGAACTTCACCACTATTTTTATCATTAATAGAATAGAATATATCTTTATCGTCTGTTCAGATTGAGCAGAGGTTTGTCTTTCAACACGGCACTGTTAAAAATCATTTATAAAACACATTTAAAATACATTTAGCAAAGACACAACAGTTCGTCATTTTGGCAGTTCTAGAGCAGTGACTGCAGACGGGACAAACCTTCTCTTGTAGATGTTTTTTCGGGCCATCGGGTTCTGTGTCTCCTGATGGCAGCAGGTGTGTGGCCTCCTCGGCACTGATTGGCTGTGCAGCTCAGAGCAGAGCACTGATTGGCTGTGCAGCTCAGAGCAGAGCACTGATTGGCTGTGCAGCTCAGAGCAGTGTGTGGTGTTTGGGTGACTTTGCGGGCCTGCTTTACTACACTATAATGGGACAGCGGGTAATTCTCCTAATCCTACATTTCGGAATAATATTAATAATCCTGAATTTTTCCAACAGGATCAATAAAGTATCTATCTTTCTATTATTGACTATTCTGATCATTTTTGCTTTGTACCGTCATAATAAAAAAAGGATTTAGATTGATTCTTGCATGTTTGAATTATTGTCTGCATAGGTTTCCTCTGGGTGCTCCGGTTTGCCTTACCATGTATGATAGAAACATGTATGATATGGACGGCCTCTGTATGAGGACCCTGCTTCGTAAAGACAGTAAAGGATGTGACGGCCCAATTCAATTCAATGTATTTATGCCCTAAAGCACAACAGCTGTTATCTCTGAGGACTTCACAGAGCTGTCGACTCTCCAACACAGATCAGAGAATCACACACGGAAACCCATGTAGACCCAGGACTGAGACTCTACACCCAGGACTGAGGCTGTAGACCCAGGACTGAGACTGTAGACCCAGGACTGAGGCTGTAGATCCAGGACTGAGGCTGTAGCTCCAGGACTGAGGCTGTAGACCCAGGACTGAGGCTGTAGACCCAGGACTGAGGCTGTAGACCCATGACTGAGGCTGTAGACCCAGGACTGAGGATGTAGACCCAGGACTGAGACTGTAGACCCAGGACTGAGGCTGTAGACCCAGGACTGAGACTGTAGACCCAGGACTGAGACTGTAGATCCAGGACTGAGGCTGTAGACCCAGGACTGAGGCTGTAGACCCAGGACTGAGACTGTAGACCCAGGACTGAGGCTGTAGATCCAGGACTGAGGCTGTAGACCCAGGACTGAGGCTGTAGACCCAGGACTGAGACTGTAGACCCAGGACTGAGGCTGTAGACCCAGGACTGAGGCTGTAGACCCAGGACTGAGACTGTAGACCCAGGACTGAGACTGTAGATCCAGGACTGAGGCTGTAGACCCAGGACTGAGGCTGTAGACCCAGGACTGAGACTGTAGACCCAGGACTGAGGCTGTAGATCCAGGACTGAGGCTGTAGACCCAGGACTGAGGCTGTAGACCCAGGACTGAGACTGTAGACCCAGGACTGAGGCTGTAGATCCAG